ATATATATGCTGGCAGAGAGGGGGTGGGTCTGGGTGCAGATTGCCCTGATTCAAATCTTGTGACCCCAGGCAAGTCATTTTAATCCCTTGAACTTTAGTTTTCTCATCTGTAAAGTGGGAGGATAACATCTCCCTCACAGGGCTGTGGGGGATGCTGTCTGGGGAGCTGGCATGAATCTCGGTTCATAAACTCATGTGTCTGTGCTTTTCTTTTTTTTTTTTAATTTATTTCTAGGAGAGAGAGAGAGCGAGCGAGCGAGCGTGAGCAGGGGAGGGTCAGAGAGAGAGGGAGACACAGACTCTGAAACAGGCTCCAGGCTCTGAGCTGGCAGTCAGCACAGAGCCCGACGCAGGGCTCGAACCCACAAACCGCGAGATCATGACCTAAGCGAAAGTCGGAAGCTTAACCGACTAAGCCACCCAGGCGCCCATGTGCTTTTCTTTCTAATGTATCTACAGCTTAGTCACCATTTCAAAGGCCAGTTTGCTGGGTAGCAGAAACTTTCCCATTTTCCTCTGGGGTTTTATTTCTGTTCCAGGGCCTTCATTTGTATCAAGAGGCTAAAGGAGGCTTCCTTGTCCCCATTTTGACTGGAAATGGAGAGACATCCACATGCTGTCTGGTCCCCCCTAATTGCCTGGGACACTGTGCTTCCCTTCCATCCAGAAGGCCCCCTCCTTAGCATTTACTTCTTACTCCCTGTCAGACACCCAGCATCGTTCTGCTGTTTCTCAATTCCTTGGGCCTCAGGCAGGACTGTGGGGGTCCCCCCCAGACCATCGGCCGGGACCCACCTAGATCCTCCGGTTAACCTTCTTTCCCTGGGGTCCTGTCACCTCTCATGGCCCTGGAAGGGAACATGGGCACAGATGCCCTCTGCTCTTGAGTCCAGCACACTGACTGGGGGTGTCTGTTGTCCCTCCTCTTATGCCAAGTTTTGCCTGGGGAGTAGCGAGGGCACTCCTTTTTAGAACCCACTAGAACAGTGTTCTCTTCAGTATCTCGTGGACTTTCACACTCCCCTAACCTGACATGGAGAATTTTCTAGTCTTGGGGGCAGAAAACCTTGCTTCAATTCATTATATATGTGTGATTCTATGCCTTGGGTTTCAAAATTTAAAAACCCAGGCTTGGGATACCTGGATGGCTCTGTGGATTTAAGCATCTGACTTTGGCTCAGGTCATGATCTCATGGTTTGTGAGTTCAAGTTCTGCATTGGGCTCAGTGCTGTCCATGTGGAGCCCACTTGGTATCTCCTCTGTCCCCACTGTCTCTGCTCCTTCCTTGCTCACACACACAAACACACACACACACTCTCTCTCTCTCTCTTAAAAATAAACATTTTCTTAAAAAGGCTTAAAATTTTTTTTTAATTAACCTACAGTAAACTTGGCTTTCCTCCTTTTGGTGTATAGTTCTATGAATCTTAACACATGTAGAGTTTTATGTAGCCACCATAGTAATGAGGACAAAGAACAGCTCTGTCATTCCCCAAGCAGCCTCCAGCTGCCCTTTTACTGTCACCCCCCCACCCCACTGGCAACCACTGATTTGTTCTCTGTCTCTACCTTTTCATCAAAGACCCAGGCTTTGAAAACTCACAAGCCTTCTCTTTGCTCCTGCTGGACGTGCCCTTCCCTGAAACCACAGGAGCCGCGTGTCCCACTGCCCTGGGGAGGGCAAGGGGTGTGGGGCGTGTGGAAACGTGGAACGTCCTGCTGCTAACATTCAAGACAGTGTTTTCCATGTTGGTGACGTCAGTGCCTTCCCAAAGTGTTTCTCAGAAATTGTAGGTGGTGCCTTTTGCTTCCTACAGGTCAGTGGGGTCCTGGTTTTGTGGCTCAGGAGCAAGATCAGGGTGGAAGCTGGGTTCGAGGGAGATCTTCAGGTGGCCTTGGAAACCCCAATGCTTTTGTTGAGGGGCAGAGGCACAAAGGGCTCGCAGGGAGCTGGGTGCCCCGACTCTGATGAGAAAAATATATTTGGTTCAGCAGGAGTTTGCATTAAGTTCTGCTTACCGTGGAGATTAATTTCCCACCTACCCTTTGCGGTTAATGATAATAGTAGTTTTTTCTGAGACCCTAGAGCGCAACGCCAGCTTTATACCATCCAGAACAATCCTGTGGGGGCACTGGGGCTCAGGGAGCACGGTGACCCGGCTAGGGCCAGCCCTGCTGGGAAGAGGTGAGGCCAGACTGTCATCCTGGGATGTCCAGCTTCAGGGCTCTTAACTTTGAGAGCAAGTCTGGGTCACAGAAACTTCAGAAAGTTATTGCTCATATTCTCTGGAGCCTTCCGACACCGGAGAAGTCGGCTACCCTGAGTGCCAAGCCCGGCTTGGCTGATGAGTCTGGGTGAGTCGCTTTCCCTCTGGCAGCCCTAGTTTCCTCATCTAGAACACGGACCTGACGGCACCCACCTCCTGGGGCTGCGGAGGTGGTTAAATGGGGGAAACACATACAGCTTGCAGCCCAGTGCGTGTCGCAGAGTCAGAACTCTGTAATGGAAGGGTGTGAAAGCTACAAGGCACAGAGAGGTAGGACCTAGGGCAAGCTTTGGGGCACTTGGGGCTGAATTTCTGCACAAATCAAACCCCAGATCCTACGATCATAATAGAAGCACATTGTGCAACAAGCTGCCGGCAGAAAACATGATGAGTCATGGCTCCATGAACCTTAAAATAAAAAGAAAACAGAATCTGAGAAACCCAAGAAGGCCCCCGGAGGAAGGAGGCCCCTGAGCCACCGCCGGAGTGGTCAGGAGGAAGGCAGACAAAAGCCGCCTTCACCAAGAGACCAGGCACCCTCGCTGGAGGATGGGGCCCAGCCCTCTGTTTGCTCTTTGAGTCATGAGCAGGAACCCCCCCTCCCCCAGACTTGAGGCTGTCAAGGGGAATCCTCTGTGTGAATGAACGTGGGCGTTTAGGGTTGCAAATCCCCAACGAAGCATTTCGGATTAGGCAGTCTGAATTGAAAGAAGGAGACATGAGGCTCCCTCACCCTATTCTCATCTCTGAGCTGTTGACACTTCCTTGTTTGAGCTTGTCAATCCAGCCCAATGCCTGTTTCATCATTTTTTCTCTCATTGTGTGTGTGTGTGTGTTGGGGAGAGTGGTGTTAAGAGGAAGGGAGGGGAGACTGGAGAGGGAGCCACAGCAGTCAAGCATAGGCTCTAGAGTCTGGCTGCCTGAGCACAGTTGACTTGATCATTTCCTTGCTGTGTGATCTTGGGCAAGTGGCTTTCTCTCTCTGAGCCTCAGGGTCTTCATGCATGGATTTGCTGTGAGGATTTGATGAGACATTGCATATAAACGCGAAGCACCAATCTTGGCACATGCCAAGAGCGTAATATGTGTGTGCTACTATTATTAATATGTGTATGTTATTTCCCCTTGATTTCTCAGTATGTTTTCCCTCCCCCCAAGAGGAGGAATCACTATTTAAGAAATGAATAGTCATTAATCAAATAATTAATGAACTAATTCACTTAAAAATTTTTTTAAATGTTTATTTTTGAGAGAGAGACACACATAGCACGAGCACAGGAGGGGCAGAGAGAGAGGGAGACACAGAATCCGAAGCGGGCTCCAGGCTCTGAGCTAGCTGTTAGCACAGAGCCCGACGCGGGGCTCAAACTCACGAACCGCGAGATCATGACCTGAGCCGAAGCCAGACGTTTAACTGACTGAGCCACCCACACGCCCCATGAGCTAAATGACTTTTAATCAGTGTTTCCCATGGACCTAGCACGGTGCTAAACATATTGCAAATTTCTCAATAAAAATTTTTCACAAGCTCCTACAAACGTTCTGCATGGTAAATATTTTCTTTTAAAAATGTTTGTTAACGTCCAACATACATAAGAAAAGTGCACATAAGTGAATACAGCTCAATGAATTTTCACAAACTGAGCAGCCTCCCCATAACTAGCATCCAGACCAAGAAACAGACCGTTACCAGCTCTCTAGAAGCCCCCTTTGGGCCCCTCCCTCCCCAATCACTAACCCTCCCTGCAAGGGTAACCACTGTCCTGGCCTCAGACAACACGGATTCGTTTTGCTGCTTTTGAGCTTCATATAACCGGGGATGTAACATGTGCTCTTTGGTGCCCGGCTCGGTTATGTGCACGAGATCCACCCATGTGGCCGTGTGTAGCTGTATGTCATTTTCATTACTGTAGAGCATTCCTCTGGGAGACCAACCCACGATATTTATGCACTCTTCTGATGGGCATTCAGGGCTTTTCCTCAGGGACCCTTATGACCATTGCTGCTATGAGAGTCCCGCGCACATCTGTGGCGTCCACACGCATGTGTTTCTGACACAGGGCAGGTCTGTGTTGTGCTTCTGTAGCGACTGCCACCCGGGTCTATAATGAGGTGGGCACTTCAACTCCACCAGCAGGGCCCAGGCTCCTGTTACCCCACATCCTGTAAGACTTCTATCCCTACTTTGCAGGCAAGGAGGCCTGGAGGTAAAGTGTCCCAAACACAGTGAGCGAGTCCTAAGACCAGACTCGTCCACCGCTTACCCACAGATATTTGCTGAGTTCACACTCTGAGCCAGCCCCGTGCCAGTGGCCGGTGGAGAAAGGGGGCAGCAGTCACCCTGATGCACATGGTTCATACCCACATGGAACTTCTCGTTGGGCTGAATTGCATTGGAACTCAGATCTGTTCGGTGCCGACGTTTATGCTTTTCCACTGTGTCAGCCTTTCTCTCCATTCCGTTGGAGCCTGGCAAAGTGCTTGGCACATAGCAGACACTCAACAAATATGGCTTGAGTGAGTGATGGAATGGGGAATCTCAGCAGGGCCTTCCTGCATGGATGAGCAAATCTCCAGATGGTCTTCTGGCTGCAAATTACAGGAAAAGAAAATGTTTTCTCTGCTGTTTCTGGGCTGATGAGCAAACCCAGGCATATTTCGTCTCAGGATGGACCTTCATCAAGTCTGACTTGTGGAACCCTAACCTCAAGACCCAGCAAGGGGGACCTCTGTACCCTTCGGAGCTAAAGTTTATTGGGGATAGGACAGGACTCCGCAGGGCCTGTGGTAAAGGTTTTGGGGGCAGTGGAAGCCCCACTCTGAGGGAGGCTTAAGGTCTCAAGATGTGGAATCTCCTTCCAATTATCAGTAGGTAGCTGGAGGACGCTCCAAGTCTGGTGTACGGAGGGTTGGCTGGACTCACAGTTGGTTGAATTTATGAGCAACAACCTGTTCTGTAAGGAGAAGAGACAAGATCAGTCATCAGGGTGACAGCCTGTTCAGTCCCTGAAGGGGACTCTCATCCATCCAAGCCACCAAGGGCTTGTGCCTGAGGTGTTTGCATTAAAACTCTTTCCAAATGGAATGTAGTTATGCGCTTCTTGTAGGCTTCCTCTCACCGAACTGTGAGCTCCGTGAAGGCGGGGGCTGTGTCTGCGGATGGAGGGTGTTCTCAGGTTTGGGGTGGGGCCAGTGCTCCCTGAAGGATTGAGTGGAAGTCCTGGGAGGGGTCACAGTTTCTGGTGGTCTGGAGGTTCTGGTGATTTGGTGGGGCCCAGACTTCTTGGTAGGGGTGCCTTCTGCTGTCCTAGCTCCCTCGGGGGACCGTAGCAGTCATTGTCATATGGTCACCTCTAAGTGTCCTCGGAGCACATGCAGACACCCCCCAGCAGGCCTCCCTGGGACTCCCCCGGCACACCTCTTCCATTTGCCCTCCCTGAGTCCTCCTCCTGGACAGATGCAGACACTCACCCATGAGGCTTTTCAACAGTTTCACGTCCAGCTGTCTGAGGATCTCGCCAATCAGAGGACACACCTGGGTCACCAGCACAGAGACAAGGGTCAGGCCAGGGGTTGGAGAAGAAAGCTAGAGAGCCTCTGGCTGGAGGCTTAGACTCCACTGGATTTCCACGAGGAATCATGGCAGCCTGGGCAGCTCCCTTGTACTGAGCGCCAACTAGAAGCCACACAGAGCACTTACAAGTGTGCCTGAATCCTCATGAAGGGCCGTGAGAGGGGGGACCGTGATGCCTCCCATGCTACAGATGGGGAGACTGAGGCTAAGCCACTTGCCAAGGACACACAGCCAGGAGATGACAAAACTGAGATTTTTCGGATTCTAAAGCTCAAGATTTGAAACTCTTTTCTAAATTGCCAGTATATACGTCCTGCCCCTCAGACTCAAGATACCCAAGGGGAAAATATTTTTCTCAAACTTACCTGACTCTCTACCAGGCGCGGGGTAACTTTTACCAGGTTCTCCCTGAAGTTGTGGAGAAAATGTTTCATCTTTGGTGAGATATCTCTGGAAAGGGAGGTAGATATACAGAACAGAACAGAACAGATAAATCTATGCCATCCCAGCACCGGGACTGAATGCTCGAGTCACCTCACACAGACATTTAATCATCAGCCGGCCCCCTACGAGAGGTATCACTGTTCGCTATCACTGTTCGCGGCAGCTGCGGGGCAACTCAGATAGGTATGGGTCTCGCCCAAGATCACACAGCCAGTAGGTGCTGATTGGATTAGAAGCAGGTCAATAGAGCACCAGAGCTCAGTTCTTCCCCTGCACTGTCCTAGCATGAATGTCCTGCATGATTTAGGCATTCAGTGAATGTCTTATGAATAAATGAATCAAAACCTGGCTGCTTGCAGCATTCTGCCTTCAAGGGACTGATAGTCGGCTGAGGTTGACAGACTTGGTCAGCCAGTATATAGCTCTATTATACACTCTTAATAAATACACCATATAAATAGCTCTATTTTTTTTTCTGTCTGGTTCACTACTGTATCGCTAGCATCAAGTATGCCATGTCTGGCCCCTAGTGGGTTCTCAGTAAATATTTGTTGAATGAATGAGTGATGAGGAGGAGTTCTTGACAAGGAGGGAAGGGCATTCCAGGTGAAAGGCTCAGCATGTGCAAAGGCAGGGTGGTATGAAAGTACATGGCATGCTGATGGAGAGGTGGGCCCTTCAGTGACACGAGAGGGTAAAGAGCTGCAGAGTGGGGCGGAGAGAGGACAAGTGGGGTCCTGACTGACCTCTAGGAGTCTGCTCTTCACTCAGAGGGCTTTGGAGAACACCTGGAGGGTTCGGAGCAGGGGCTAAGGGACATGACTGCATTTCTGTGCTAGAAAGTTATTTCTGCTGCAGGGGCAGAATGCAGTGAAGGAGGGGAGGTCTGAGTCAGGCAGTGTCAGAGTGGCTCCTACAGGGTCCAGGAAGTGGTCTATGAGTGGGAGTGGTGGCTGTGGGGATAGAGAGAGAGGGAGCAAGCAGGGGCTGCCGGAAGGTCGTTGATGGGAGCCAGGGAGGAAGGAGGAAGGGTCCCTCCTGGAGGGTGGCCGGGCCATCACTGGATGCTGAGTCAGGAAGAGAAGTAGATTCTGGGGAAAGGATGAGGTCTATTTTGGGCTCATCCAGGAGGTGGAGACGTGTGGTGCACCCAGGGGGAGTCGGGAAGGGGCCGTGGGGAGGGCAGCTGGGATCTTACTCAGTTAGAACTGTCGTGTAGATGCTGCTGGGCTCCACACAGCAGCTGCCTATCACCAGGTCCCTCCGGCCAAACTCATCTTTCTCCAGCCAGAACTCCACAACGAGGTTCATGCATGCACGTGTCTTTATGATCTTGTTATCAAAGGGCCTGGGGATGAGAGAGAGGAGGAAGAGGTGGGAACAGATAACACCAAGAGAAGAGTGACTCTTTCAACAGCCCAGCCCTGCCTGGTGGCTCCTGCAGCCCACGACAAAGGAGAAGATGCAGTTACGCAGAGTGGCTTCTGAAAACCCTTTAACTAGACTGGCTTAGGGGCCTTTGGAAATTGAGAAGTTGAGAGTTAATCTTATTTTTTTTTTTAATATTTTTTATTTATTTCTAGGAGGGAGAGAGAGAGACAGCATGAGCAGGGGAGGGTCAGAGAGAGAGGGAGATACAGACTCTGAAATAGGCTCCAGGCTCCGAGCTGGCAGTCAGCACAGAGCCCGACACGGGGCTCAAACCCACGAACCGCGAGATCATGACCTAAGCGAAAGTCGGACGCTTAACCGACTAAGCCACCCAGGCGCCCCGAGAGTTAATCTTATTTTAAAAATCTTTATCATTTAGCTGTGGCCTCCCTTTTCTTGGGGGCACCTGATGTTAAAGGATAGTCTTGACAGACAGAGGGAGGGGTAATGATCGAATTAAAATGTTTCTCTCTTTTCTTTCGAATCAGTGTCATGAACTCACATTGGTTTAAATGACCAAACCGGGGCACCTGGGTGGCTCAGGCGGTTAAGCACCGACTTCAGCTCAGGTCATGATCTCACATGTTCGTGGGTTTAAGCCCCACGTCGGGCTCTGTGCTGGCAGCTAACTCAGAGCCTGGAGCGTGTTTCAGATTCTGTGTCTCCCTCTACTGCTGACCCTCCCCTGCTCATGCTGTCTCTTTCTCTCAGAAATAAATAAAACATTTTTAAAAATTAAAAATAAATAAATAAATGATCAAACCACCTGCCTCCACGGACCAGCACTTGCCATCCACGTTTCAGCTGAAGAAACCGAGGCTCAGAGATGTGAGGTGACTTGCCCCAGGTCACACAGCAAGTGAGTTCAGAAACCAGGATTTGAACCAGATTGGAGTCAGAAAGATCTGGGTTCCCTAGGTTGCCAAATTCCACCCTTCCCCCACCCAGCTCCCGGATTCCGGTTGAGGAGGAATAGCCCCCCACCGCTCTGTAGGACTCACAGTCTCAAGTCAATGTCAAATTCAAGTGAGATGTTGGCTGAGAACCACTCCTTGTGGAAAGACATCCGGATGCCACCATAGTCCAGCTGAATGTTGGTGACGTTGGCGCTACACAAGGAGAGAACAGAGCCCTTCAAGGGTGAGGAGATTTGGACAAACAGTGGGCTTTGGAGTCGATCCTTTTAAAGATGCTTGGAGAGCAAGAGCTGCCCGCAGGAGCCCTGGGCTGCAGGCCATCCCTAGGGCTCTCCAGAGAGTTCCGTACAAGGAATGTGTACAACCCACAGCTGACTGCTGATCCAGATAAAGACCCACTGCTGCCTCCTAGCACAGGGCCCCGCCTTCTGCCCAGGGACCCAGACCCAAGCCCTGGGAGCCCTCTCTGCCTCCTTTCCATCTCTCACCTTCACCTTCAACTCATCTGGGAATCACGCTGGCTCTGCTTACAAAATACACCTGGAATTTGGCAACTTCTCACTACTCTGTCCCTTTCTCCTGGTCCAGGTCACCACCATCACTTCTTGCCTGGAGATGCTCTAGTTCCTCTCTGGGTTCCTTGCCGTCAACTGGACCTCTCCACAAACTGTTCTCCATGTGGCAGCCAATAGGCAGCACTGTTACTTAACATTCTGCCTGGGTTTCTCACTGCTCTTGGAATAAAATCCAAACTCCACACCATGACCTCTAAGACCTGCAGAGTCTGGCCCCACCTGCCTCCACAGCCACATCTTCTACCACCCTCCCCCTTGCTCACCCAGCCACACCAGTTTGCTCTTCCTCAGACATACCAGTCTGTTTCCTACCTCAGGGCCTTTGTACTTACTGCTATATCCTTCATGTCGCTTGCTTCCTTCTCTTCATTCTTCCGAAGGATTATCTCTTGAGAAAGATCTTCTGGATCAGCCCCTCACTGTCACCCCTTACCTTGCTAAAGTTGTCTTCCTAACATGTCCCTATACCTGAAATGGGTTATTTACTTGTGTGGCTTATCTCACTAACTAGGATGTAAGATCCAAAAAGGCAGTGGCCATCTGTCTTGTTTATAGCTGTATCCCAAGTACCCAGCCAAGTCCTCATTCATAGTAGGTGTTCAATGAATACATGTAATAACTAGTAAGGGAATAAAAGAAGGGAGGTGGTTGTGGACACACATCAGGGAAAACCCTGCTGGCTCATTGCAATGGTGAGAGTGAGGGACTGAATCAGGAAGACAGGAGCCCCAGGGTCCAGCCAGCTGGAGCCGCAGTGGAGAGGCTGGGAGCTGGGGAGGCAGAGGAGGCCGCAGAAGGAGGGAACTGTATGTGGGCAGCCCAGGCCAGCTCTGCTGGGTTAATGGGAGCACCTGATGCCCCTGAATCCACTATGTGCAGCAGAGAAGGCTCCCAGCTTCCAAGGCAGGGACAATTATTATGCCCATCTCACTGATGGGGGCTTAAGCTGCAGCTCAGAGACCTCAAACACCTTGCCAAGAGTCACACAGCTATCAACAGTAGAGTGGAATTCAAACAAGCATCTGACTAGTTCTGGGTTCCTTTGGCACCCCAGACATTTGTCCAGGCTGTGCTCTGGGTACCCATGTTATAGATGAGGCTGGAGTGGCCCCACGACTTCCCCAAGTTGGTGGCAGACCCAGGATTTAAATGCAGAAACTTTTATTCCTGAAACTTTGCTTTAATTACCCTGCTTTAATTATGCCCCTCCCCAAATGGTTCCTCATACTGACCCCCTCCCATTGTTGTATTGGACCTTTTGTTCCCGCCTTCCAGTCTTCCTTTCCCTCTTCACAGCCTTGTGCCTTCATCGCCTCAGCTCTCCCCTGTGATCCAGGGTCTTATAAAGAGCCCCAGGGCCAGGGGTGGGGTTCAGGGCCTCACCTGCTTTCTTGCTGTTGCTGGAGGCTCATGCTGCTGATTAGCCAGCCCACCATCCCTGGGGCCATCTGCCCTGAGGCATTCAGACTGTCCATGATGCGGATGTTCTGGATTCGGCCCTCGGCATTGTGCTTCATGAGACCCTGGGCGATAACTGGAAATGGACAAGGGACCAGTGACACTGCAAATCAGGAGGCCTAGGTTGTGGGCTGGGGCCTGAGTGGGCTGGGGCCTGAGTGATCGGTGCCTGTCACCCTCCAACTCCACTCTCTGCACCGAAATCCACATTCCTTATCTGGGAGCCTGTGCTTTGCAGGGTTAATGGGACACACCTGCCACAGGTCTCACAGGCAATTAGCTGCTCCAATGAGATATAATAGTTGAAATTCGCCCAGTGCTCTATCTCTGAATCTGGAACAGAGAACCTGATGTATGGAATGTACATCACAATAAATGTTGGTTGAAGAGAAAAATAAGGGTAAATAAGAAGATAAGGGTAAAATAAGAAGAGAATAAATGTAATTTCTCCCACATTGTGTCCGGAACAAACCGCAATAGTATGTGGAGCTACCAGCAGAAAAGAATGAATTCCAAGATGGAAGGGGATTTTAGAAGTGATAGGCATGCTTCGACCCTGCCTCTCGGCGCTAGACCCTCCTGTCCAGGATTGGGCCTAGTTCTGATGAACCTCAGAGTGTACCCAGGACACTCAGAGTGTTCCCTGTGGTCAGAACCCACACCACAAAGCAGCAAAAATTATGGTTACACTTACTCTCCTCCCTCCAGCTCCCAAACCCCCTTTCAGTCTCCCATGTTTCTGTTGCCTGCAAAGGAGAAAGTGCATTTGGAGTCATAGATCTTGGTTCAATCCTGGGTCTGTCACCTTCCTGTGTCTTGATTTCCTCATCTGTATAATGCAGGCAGTAATAATACCCATCTCACAGGATTCTTTTAAGGAATGTGGAGATAATTTACCCAAACAAGAATATTATTGAGCATCTATTGGTCATCAGGTCTTGGGGTGCATAATAAAGACACAAACCAGTTTTCTGTCTAGTAAGAGAGACATATATTGTTTCTCAAATAGTTTTAAAGATAGAGTGATAGTATAGATATGCCTAGAACTCTTACTAGTTCTTGGTTAATGATGATAGCAATGCTTGGAAAATTTGTGAGCAGTATACACTAGTAGTTACCAGTCCAATATCCATCAATTCATCCATCCATCTATCCATCCATCCATCCATCCATCCATCCATCCATCCATCCATCTATCCATCCTCCATCTATCCAATATCCACCCATCTATTCATCTATCCACCCTCCCACTCATCTATCCTATCATTCTCATCTGAACCCTGTTTTGATTCATGCTCTCTCCAATTCCTGATCCAGATTAAGGCCTTTGATCATCTGAACCGTCATTGTTTTGTAACTCTTTCAGGTTGAAAGTGGGCGTATCACCCAAGTTAGTCCTCTCAGACTAAACAGAAGATCTTCTGTTTCATGTTAGAGGGGAAGTTTCTTTCCCTGTCTCCTACTGGAAGGGAACAAGGCAGTCTGTAGCTCTGATGGCCATTGGCCATCATTTTTCTATCACACTGGGAACTAGTGGTCTGAAGATGAAATTATGATGATCGAGCTAAAAAATTGGACAAAATCCAGTTCTGAATGGCACCTTTGAGTTACTAATTGAATAAGACCTGGAGCTTGTCCTACCTATGATTTTTGATTATGTGGGTTTTTTTTCATTGTTTAGGCCATATTGAGTTGGGTTTTCTATTATATGCAGCTAAGTACCCTAACTGATACGAGAGGTAGTTATAGTGATAAATATATTCACAGTTGAAAAAGCACTTGGCACATGCTTTCCTTCATTTAAATCTCAAAAGCAGCCCTATGAAACACCATTCTAACTGCACCCATTGTAACTATGACGAGGCCCACAAATACAGTGAATATATTTCTATTTCGTAACATAAATGAAATGGATACATTTGTGGCAAACCACAAAATACCAAGCTGTGATGAGGGAAATGAGAAATATTGATTATCTAGAACCCTTAGGAAATAGAAATAGTAGTTGAAGATTTCATTCCCCAAAAGTTTTTGATCTTGGATGGTTTTGGGGAAGAGTTTTACCAAACTCTATAAAGAGATAATTGTGAAAGAAAGCAGAAAAAGAAGATGCCAAATTCATTTTATGAGGCTAGTACAACTTGCCTAGCTTCAAGAAAAGCACAAGGAAAAAAAATTACACATTACTTTCATGTATGAAAGCTTTGCTAACATCCTGTAAAATTATATGATAGCTAATAGTACATTATAAAAATATATTATGTTACAAAATATATTTTAGTATGATACATTATATAACATTCTATATTATAAAAAATAGTACAGTATAAATATTGTAGTAAATTATAAAAATATCATATTTAGGGGCGTCTGGGTGGCTTAGTTGGTTAAGCGTCCGACTTTCACTTAGGTCATGATCTCGCGGTTCGTGGGTTCGAGCCCCGCGTCAGGCTCTGTGCTGACTGCCAGCTCAGAGCCTGGAGCCTATTTCAGAGTCTGTGTCTCCCTCTCTCCCTGACCCTCCCCTGCTCACGCTGTCTCTCTCACTCCTAGAAATAAATAAAAAAATATTTAAAAAAATATCATATTTATTCCAGAAATGCTGGGATGGGTTCAGCATAAGAAAATCTATTAATACAATTCATCACATTAATGGTTTAGTGAAAAAAAAGGAGTAATTTTTAGATGCAGAAAACACTTGTTAAAAGTCAATATTGATTTATGATTAAGAAAATTTCAGAAAAATTCAGAGTATAGGGGATTTCCCTAACATGATAAAAAATATTTCAGAAACCTATGGAAAATGTCATACTTAGTGGAGAATTCTAGATACCTTCCTGTTCCTATAGGAGGCCTTAGCTGTACTATGAGATAATCAAAAGGCACATGAAGTATAAGATTTAGAAAAGAAGAAATGAACCTGTCACTATTTACAGATGATCTGGGTAGAAAATCCTCTGGGTAGAAAAGTCAGCAGAATATGTAAACTATTGAAACTAATTAGGGGCGCCTGGGTTGCTCAGTCGATGGGCGTCTGACTTCAGCTCAAGTCATGATCTTGTGGTTCGTGAGTTCGAGCCCCACGTTGGGCTCTGTGCTGATAGCGAGCACAGAGTCTGTTGCCTGTCTTTGGATTCTGTCTGTCTGTCTCTCTCTCTGTCCCTCCCCTGCTTTCACTGTCTCTCTCTCTCAAAAATAAACATAAAAAAAAACTTAAGAATAAGAAGTCAGTGAGACTTCTGGATTGCAGATTAATTTCCGAGAAACAACTTTCCTCTCATCTGAACCAGTGATACCAACTAGCAAATACAATAGAAAATTAGGCTGTGGGAACTACCTTTGACTGAACTACTGAAAAAGCAAAGGGGGTGTGGTTATGAGGGTCCAGCCACCCAAGACAGACTGGATGTCCTTCAAAAACAGCTTGGGTTCCCAGCTAAACACCCTAAGAAGGTGAATCGAAACTTTTTCCTCACTGGTTTATTCTTTCCAAATTCATTTGCTTTTAGTTTTCCGAGAACTAACATGGCTCTTTTCCATGCTCTCAGCATCCCTCGGTAGACAGACAAAGCTTGATGATTTCAGGGCAGACATAGGCTGAGAAACCATGGCATTGAGTGTGCTGGGTCCAGACAGATGTTATCTATACACACATTCAAATTTAAAGAGAAAGTTGTATTTCTTTAGGTTTCAAACACTGTACCAGATATAAAGCAAAAATAAAAAACTGTTGGAAAATTTAAAAAAATAGGCAATATTTACTATAGTAACAAAAACTATACATTTCTCTAAGAATCAATTTAACAAAGCATAGGCTTTAACAAAATTCACAGGACTTTGAAATTCTATTAAGGGAGGGTCGCCTGGGTAACTCAGTCTGTTGAGTGTCTTGACTCTTGGTTTCAGTTCAGGTCATGATTTCACAGCTCATGGGTTCGAGCCCCATGTTGGCCTCTATGTTGACAGTGCAGAGACTGCTTGGGATTCTTTCTCTCTGTCCCTCCCCTACTCATGATCTCCCTCTTTGTCTCTCTCAAATAATTAAACTTAAAAAAAATTCTACTAAGTGATATAAGATAAAGTCTGAAATAGCTGTTGTTTGAGCCACCCAGTCCGTGGTATCTTGCTATTGGTAGACTGATACAAATGGATGCTCTCCCGTGTTGGGAAACAGGTCTGGGGAGACACAGTATGCTCATTTATTCCTGGAGTGGTTGTAGACCAGCACAGCCATTCTAGAGAACAATCTGGTGGTTGTTACTTAAATTGAATTTGTATCCACCCTAGGACCCAGCTACCCATTCCAGTTCTGGGTATATTCCAGAGAGACTGTTCCAGGGCTCCTAACGGGGACACACCCAAGGATGTTCATCTCATCCTTAAAACACTGGGGAGTTAGAGACAACTCAAGTGTCCATCCCTAGGGAAATGGCCACATGCTGGTGAAGTGGATGAATCTCATGGACGTCTCTGTACCAGCCTGAAGCAACAGATGTCAACAGCATAGCCAATGAAAGCAATAAAGAGCAACAATGTCTATATAGCAATATCATTTATGCAAGTCAAGACACTGCATGTTTTATAAGGGTATGAGCATATATAAACACAAATATTAAACACACTGCGGGGCCTGCTGAGGCAGAGGGGATGGGAGTGAGAATAAGAGGTAAAAGGGAAAATGACAAAACACAAGAGGGCCTTCATAGTAATGATGATGAGCTATGAACTAGCACATGATCAATTGAATCTCAGCTTTCTGTACCTAAGGTCTAAGAGAAAAAGGAAGAAAAGAGGGTGACTGACCCAAGGTCACCCAGCAAATCAGTGGTGGAACCCAGATGATGCCTCCCCCACCCAGCCTGTGATGGTGGGCAGGGCATGGGCTGAGCTTACTTCTCGCCAGAGCCGGTTTGCTGTCCACGTGGGCCTTGGCCAGGCCCTGCCTGTGCAGTGCTGAGGGCAAGGACAGCAAGCTGAGGAGGACCAGGAGCCTCCAGACTGGACACATCTCAGGTTCTGGGACCTGTGGGTGTCAACACAGGTCAGACGGTACTCAGACAGGTCGTCGTAGGGGTGGCTGCCTGAATGAGTGGACTCATGGTTTTCTGTGGAAAGGTGACACCAGAGTTAGCCTGGAGCATGCCGTGGGGCGGTGTTGTGATGGGCTCTGGCGACTGCCGCTGGGGTTTGCTCCCATGGTGAGGGCAGCAGGTGGAGCCCTGCGGGGAGGGCCAGAGATCCAGAGGGGGCCTTGTTGCTTGGATACGCCCAGGAGAGCCCACTGTTGGGTCATCCAGCAGGAGTTGTCTCCCAGACCCTGCGCAGGCTGGATGTTGGGGATTCTACAGTAAATGAATGAATGAATGAGTGACTGAGGATGACTAATTTCAGGCTCTCCAATTGGACTAGGACTTATTTTAATGCTTATTTATTATTTTTGAGAGAGAGAGAGAGAGAGAGAGAGAGAACGCATGAGTGGCTGAGGGGCAGAGAGAGAATCCTAAGTACTGACAGTGCCAACCCAGAGGTGGGCTTCATCCCATGAACTGTGAGATCACTACCTGAGCTGACATCAAGAGTCGGATGCTTAACCAACTGAGCCACCCAGGCTCCCCTGGACTAGAAATTTCTTAAGGGCAGGATCATTCACAATGCCTACCATGATGCTTGCTTGCTAGGAATTTGGGGTTAACGAATGTTTGTTGAGTGACTGAATGACTAAATACATGAATGAGTGAGAATGGCTAGTCTCCGAACTGTCTACCAAATTATAAAGGCACAGTTGAGTCCAGTGCCTCCCATGTTTACCCAATGGTAGTTACTAATAAATGTTTGTTAAATGATAAGAATGAATGAATGATTGGATGGATGCATGGTTTATGGATAAGATTTATAGGAAGGGGACAGAGAGCCTCTCTCTTATTTCATTGCTCTGAAGTTGGGGGTCAGAGAGAATTCAGTTCAAATCCTCCTGTCCTCAACATCTCAAGAAATGGCACCACAGCCATCCAGTTGCTCTGGTCCCGGCCCTTGGAGTCCCTCTTGACTCCTCTTTCCTCATGGCCCACAATGCATCTGTCTTGTCAACACTTCCAGCATCTGACCACATCTCCTAACTCCTCAGCCACCATCACATTGGCCTGGATTATCACAGGGGGGTCCCTACCTGATTTCGTGGCTTTTTCCCTTGCCCACCCAAAATCTGTTTTGCACACAGCAGCCTGCATAATCATTTTAAGACATTAATCAGACCACAGCCCTCCTCTTCTCTTCTAAAACTTTTTTTCACATTTATTTTTGAGAGACAGAGAGTGGCAGAGCACGAGTGGGGGAGGGGCAGAGAGAGAGGGAGACACAGAATCTGATGCAGGCTCCAGACTCCAAGCTGTCAGCGCAGAGCCCAACAGCGGGCTCGAACTCACGAACTATGAGATCGTGACCTGAGCTGACATCAGAGGCTTAACCTACTGAATCACCCAGGCGCCCCCTCAAAGCTCTTCAAAAGTTTCCCACTGCACACAGAGCAAAAGCCAACTCCATGCAACGCCTCCCAGGTCCTTCAGGGTCTCCTAGTATTTGTTCTCTCTGACCCCACCTCCCTCATCTGCTCCCTGCTCCTGGCAGCCACACAGGCCTCAGGGGTCTGGGCTCCACAATTCATCTACTGTGAACTCCTGAGACAAAGGTACTCTTCACTCCCTGTGCTCCCCTCCCTGCCCCCCAGCCCCACCCCCCGGGCTGCAGAGAAAGTTCAGGGTCCTTTGCAAATCTCATGAAGCCCTGGGGCCATCCTTGGTCACTTCACATCCAGTTTTGCAAGGGAGCATGGTGAAAGCATTCGTTCAGGGTGATAGCTTTCCGGAATTGATGTCTTCTTGTAGGGTTCACACTTCCCTTGGGAATGTTTGTAGAATATCAGTTACCTTGAAATGTACTTTTCCAGTCTTCCTGATCTTGTGTAACCAGTTGGGATTTTGTTATTTTTTTGTCAAGAAAATTGGAGAAGGGTGGGCACCGTTGGGAGGAACAAACCTGTTGTCCTTGGCTCTTTGAAGGCCTGAACTTGGGAGTGGGGAGGGCTGTCAGTCCTGCCCCATCGCAGGATGTGGTTCTCAGGGCCACTGAGTCTAAAGAAATGACCCGATGGAGGGTGTAGACTTTCCAAGCCTGGTACCCGACAAGGGAACAGAAAGGCACTGCTCTGGGGCGAGCCCTGGATTTCCTTGTCCTGGTGGTGCTCACATACCTGGGGAGAAATGACAGTCTTCAACTGTCCCTCCTGTGAACACGTGATGATGACGTGTGGCCCTGGTGATGAAGGCAAGGGAGGGGTGCTCTATAAGGGGACGGTGAGGGGACACCTGCCCAGTGGGGGCAGGGTTATCAGGGACATGACCTCTTTGAGGAGACAGAGTGGTATTATTATTTTTTTTATGTCTTTATTTTATTTTGAGAGACAGACAGAAAGTGAGTGGGGGAGGGGCAGAGAGAGAGGGAGACATAGAGTCTGAAGCAGGCTCCAGGCTCTGAGCTGTCACCACAGAGCCTGACGCAGGGCTCGAACCCACGGACTGTGAGATCATGACCTGAGTCGAAGTTGGATGCTTAACCCACTGAGCCACCCAGGTGGAATTTAAGGGAAAGGCTACAAGTTAGCTGGTTATGTTTCTCCTCTCTCTCCATCCACCCCCCGCCCTGCCCCAGGCAACTACTTCTAGGGATGATGCCGCTGGCATTTATTTGGCAGGCCTCCTTCACTGTGTGAAGCCTGCTCTATGTGTGATCTCATCCCACACATGAGGGGATGGAGACCTGGAGAAACCCTGCGAGCAAGCGAACGGCCTGCAGAGCTCCTGGTGGGGATCAGAACAAGCCACCCCAGGCAGGCTCTCTGGCTCTCTCTCCCTGCCCAGAGGGGTAAGATGTTGTTTCCTTTGGAAGTTGGAGCTGCTGGGTGCCCCAAACCTCATCTAGTAGCCCTCTCCTTTACTGTTTCAAATAACGTGCTTTAGAACAAGCGTCTTTACCTTTTCGGGGGGCATTTTGAAAATGGAATGACAGCTTTGGTTTGTCCAGAAAAAAATAATGTACCTGGATAAAAAAATGTTGCCCAGAGTAGCAGGATTTCCATCACCTTCCTAAGGTGTGACCATTGACACAAGTTAAAACCCCTGCTCTCCTGGGTAATTGGTTTTCAAGGAGGTTGACTTGGATAAAAATTTATTTATTCAGTCAACCTAATATTACTTCCTGTGGGCCTACACTGTACCAGGCAGGCACTGTGCTTGGCTCTAGGCAATAACAGACGCCCGACTTCTCTAGCGACTTACAGTCTGGTGAGAGAATCAGAATAAGACAAAATAAACAATACATGGAATAATTACAGAGTATATCAAGGGGGCTGAAATTCGGGTGAGATTGAGAATAGTGGAGAGGCCACTTTGGGCGATAAGTAAGGAAGTTCTCTCAAGAAGGTGACATTTGAGCTGAGTCCAGGAGGAGACGGAGCCTGCATTGGGTGTAGATGGGGGTATGGCACGTCTGGCAGGCAGAACTGCAAGGGCAAAGGCCCTGAGGTGGGAAAGGGCTCAGCAGATTGGAGGAACAAAGGAAGATGGGTGTGGCTGGGTCTTCTGGGTCAGAAGTTGGTGCCCTGGTGCCCAGGCTCATGTCCATGGTTCCAGGGAGGGGGTGTCCAGTGTCACAAGGAGGCAGGAGTTTCCCCTGGCTGAACCAAGGGCCAAGCAGGCTTTTGCACGGGAGCACCCTCTGATAGCTGGCTAGAGACATCCCATCCCCGCCAACTCCAGACTCCTCCCAGCCCCTACCGCAGTGCAGCTGCTCTGTGGGCTCTAAGGGAGCTCCAGGTCCCCAGCCAAAGGCAGAATTCCTGAAACTCCAGGTGTGTGTGTCGGGGATGGGGGGGGGGGGGAGTAGAATGGGTGGAAACAGAATGGTGGAAGATTCCTGCACCTAATTCCACAAGGTAGACTGGTTTGGCTTATTCTTTGAGATCACTCTTCTGTGGAATGGAATTCACTCTTCATGTAGGCATTCATTTATTTCACTTTTTGTAGAAATATATATTTTTAACAATCACAGAGGTCTAAGATTGGGACTTTAACCCAAAGACAAATTTACTTGAAAAGGGTGTGGAAGGTAGGCAGGAGTGTGGTGCCTTCTGAGTGGAATATCAGGATTGACCAAGGATGACGAGGATGTCTCTTCTGGGTTCTGGGGTGGCCCGAAGTGGGGAAGGCGGAAAATCTGGGGTTTCTGGGTGCATTGCAGTGCTTTTGAGAGGACAAATGGGACTTGTAAAAATGCAGATTCCTGGGCCACCTCTGAGCAATTGAGTCAGCCTCTGGAGATGGGACCTGGGAATAAGCTTCTGGGCAATTCTGCTGTATATGATGCCTGAGAACCACTGGGTTGAAGTAAGAGTGATGTTGTGACATAACATTTGTTGAGAGCTGACTGTGCTCAAGGGGCAGTCTAAGTGCTTTAATCACTTCTTTAACCCTCCACACCGCCCTCTGAAGTAGGTACTGTTATGACTGGCCTCCCTTTGCAGCAGCACAGAGAAGTTGAGTCAGATCCCTGAAGTCACCAGCGGGGGCAGGGGGGCTAGGGCAGCAGCGAGGCAACCAGATCCACAGAAGGGAGATCAGAGGAGCTGTCGCTCATTCCCCCTCTCCCTCCCCCCTCACACCCCACTCTGCTCCCCAGCACGATCCCACGGCCCCCACGGGCATTGCAAGGAGAGGCGGGAGGAGCAGCAGCAGACTCCTATTGAGCCCCGACTGCACCAGGCTCTGTTCTAAGCATTCTTTGTAGATTAATCTCATTAATCCAATAGCCCTGGAGGGCTGTGTTGTTATTGCCCCACCCCTTAGATGCAAAGCCTGAGGCACAGAGAGATGGACTCACTTGCCTGAGGACACGCAGCTGGTGAGCAGGAGCCACGATTCAACGCCAGGCTGTCTGGCTCTCTAGGCTCTGTCTCATCTCCAGAGAAATTGGCCCACAGCTCTTGCCCTTCAGCCTGGGCTCTGTGAGCCCGTCTTGTCCAGTGGCATTCCCTCTGGCATTCTACAGAGGCCACGAAAGCCTCCATGAGACACGCATGGCAACTATCAAAGTTGGGAGCTGGAGTTGACCTCCCAGGGGGAGTGAAGACTTCAGGTCTCACCAAAACCATGAAGGCTCTGAACCA